CGGGGGCGGGAGCCGGGGCCGCGGTCGGCCACCGTCAAGGTCTACATCACGGTCCTCGACGAGAACGACAACACCCCGCAGTTCAGCGAGAAGCGCTACATCGTCCAGGTGAGGGAGGACGTGCGGCCCCACACAGAAATACTGCGCGTCACCGCCACGGACTCGGACAAGGACAACAACGCTCTGGTCCATTACAACATCATCAGTGGCAACAGCCGGGGCCAGTTCTCCATTGACAGCATCACTGGGGAGATACAGGTGGTGGCTCCCCTGGATTTTGAGGTGGAGCGTGAATACGCCCTGAGGATCCGGGCTCAGGACGCGGGCCGCCCTCCGCTGTCCAACAACACTGGCATGGCCAGCATCCAAGTGGTGGACATCAATGACCATGCCCCCATCTTTGTGAGCACCCCTTTCCAAATCTCCATCCTGGAGAACGCCCCCCTCGGCCACTCCGTCATCCACATCCAGGCCGTGGATGCGGACTACGGCGAGAACTCGCGCCTGGAGTACAAACTGACGGGCGTTTCAGCCGACACTCCCTTCGTGGTGAACAGCGCCACGGGGTGGGTCACGGTCAGCGGGCCTTTGGACCGGGAGCTGGTAGAGCACTACTTTTTTGGGGTAGAGGCTCGGGATCACGGCTCTCCGTCTCTATCTGCCTCTGCCAGCGTCACCATCACTGTCATGGATGTCAATGACAACCGCCCCGAGTTCACCCAGAAGGAGTACTTCATCCGCCTCAACGAGGATGCGACCGTGGGCACCAGCGTCCTCAGTGTGACAGCCGTTGATCGGGACGTGAACAGTGCCATCACCTACCAGATCACGGGAGGCAACACGCGCAACCGCTTTTCCATCAGCACGCAGGGCGGCGTGGGGCTCATCACGCTCTCCCTGCCGCTGGACTACAAGCAGGAACGGCGCTACGTGCTCACCGTGACGGCCTCCGACCGCACGCTGAGGGACAACTGCCACGTTCACATCAACATCACTGATGCCAACACGCACAGGCCTGTGTTCCAGAGTGCCCACTACTCTGTGAGTATCAATGAGGACCGGCCCGTGGGCAGCACTGTGGTGGTGATCAGTGCCACGGACGATGACGTGGGGGAGAATGCCCGCATCACGTACTACCTCGAGGACAACGTTCCTCAGTTCCGCATTGATCCAGACTCTGGGGCCATCACTTTGCAGGCAGAACTGGACTATGAGGACCAGGTCACCTACACGTTGGCTATCACGGCCAAGGACAACGGGATCCCCCAGAAAGCGGACACCACCTACGTAGAGATCATGGTGAACGACGTGAACGACAACGCGCCCCAGTTTGTCAGCACTCACTACCAGGGCGTGATCTCCGAGGACGCGCCTCCCTTCACCAGCGTGCTCCAGATCTCCGCCACCGACCGCGATGCCCACACCAACGGGCGGGTGCAGTACACCTTCCAGAACGGGGAGGATGGCGACGGTGACTTCACCATAGAGCCCACCTCCGGCATCATTCGCACCGTGCGCAGGCTGGACCGGGAGAACGTCCCCGTCTATGAATTGACTGCTTATGCTGTGGACAGGGGCATCCCGCCTCAGCGAACACCCGTCCATATTCAGGTCACCATTCAGGATGTGAATGACAATGCTCCCGTCTTTCCTGCGGAAGAATTTGAGGTCTTGGTGAAGGAGAACAGTATTGTAGGCTCTGTTGTGACCCAGATCACAGCCATGGACCCGGATGAGGGACCTAATGCCCAAATCATGTACCAAATTGTGGAAGGCAATATCCCTGAGATATTCCAGATGGACATATTTTCTGGGGAGCTCACAGCCTTGATAGACCTGGATTATGAGACAAAACCTGAGTATGTGATTGTAGTACAGGCCACCTCTGCCCCTTTGGTCAGCAGAGCCACAGTCCACATCAAACTCATTGACCAAAATGACAACACTCCCGTTCTCAAGAACTTCCAGATCTTGTTTAATAACTACGTGTCCAACAAGTCCAACACCTTCCCCTCTGGGGTCATAGGGAAGGTCCCGGCTTATGACCCAGATGTGTCTGACCGCCTCTTCTACACCTTTGAACGGGGAAATGAGCTGCACTTGTTGATTGTAAATCAGTCGAGCGGGGAGCTGAGACTGAGCCGGAAACTGGACAACAACCGCCCGCTGGTGGCCTCCATGCTGGTGACCGTCTCGGGTAGGGTGCAAAGCTCTTAGTGCCTGCGCGAGGGTGGTACCTTCTGGGGGCCTCGCAGGGTTCCCCCGGGGGACCCTTGGGGACGGTTAGGGACTGGCAGCAGTGGGGGATGGGAGTCGCTCCAGAGGGGGATGCCGGGGGTGTGGGCGCAGCAGCCGGGCGTGGGGCGAGGGGCTGCGGTCGCTCTGCAGGAACAAAGCCCCGTCACCGGCGCGGGGAGCCGCGCGGCAGGCGCT